TGCGGCTTGGTGGTAGTGGTCTGATCCTCAGCGACACTAAGGTCTCTAATTAGAACTCTGAAATCTCACTTYGCTAACGATGTAGCTAATGGACTAAAATGTCTCTTTATTGATATGTCTGTACTTTCAAATATTGGGTTATGGAGATACTTCTGAATTCATTGAATACATAATTTATGTGTAATTATGTAATTATCATTACATATTATTATGTAATATGTAATATGTAGTATGTAATATAATACATAGTATATATATGTATCATATTATGTTATATAGTAATAATAATATTATGATTATATAATAAGGGTTTTTTCCTCTCTATGRACCTTTTTAGCCTTAGCGATAGATGCGGGATTCCCCATTTGAAGCTATTTCTGTATTATTTGTCAAGGTCTTTAATGTTAAAAGTTAAGGAGGAGCTGTGTTAACCTTTTGGATACACAAATTCCTGTTACACGCTGCACATGATTCTGCTRCAGGCTGAGGTTGCCTGTTTTGGTGCGACTCATGCCTTTGCATCCATGTGCTCACGGCCTTTACTCAAGGGACGGGGGTGGCCTGGAGGAATCTAGGTGTTATCCTAGGTGCTGCCCTAGTCCAGGGTTACCCTTTCAGCTGTGCTGTAGTCACAAGGTACCAACTTCTAATTCTTGCTGGCAGCATTATTCATACAGAGGTCTAATTGAATGCTAGTAAAGTACAGCTAGTTGAGACGGAAGATTTAGTTCCACTACTTATAGTGGTAATTCTCTGTTCTCTCTTCATAGCCATCTATTTTGCTCATGTTTTCTATAGAAAACATGTTATGAGGAATGTGTTGCACTAATTTTCAGCAAAAATATGTAGCCATTACAGTTATTTTACTGGAGGATAAAATAAAATTATGTAGTCATTTAATAAAACATGTATGGACTTTGCTGATCAGTCCTTCAATTCTGTTTCCTGTTTCTCTTAGTCTTCTCTCTGTGGATGTTTGCACAGGGTTAAGGAAAAGTTACTCACTGTTTGTTTTTTTTCTCTGCCGAACAAAATAAATAGGGATATCTGAGTAATGCTGTGTTTGCTCATATCATAGAGCAGAAAAAGCTAGATTCGCTCACGCTGGTGAAAGAAAACAATTTTATATCATCTTGTGCCAGCTGGCTTGCGGTCGCCAAGGTGTGAGGAAAGCAGCTTTCATTAACAAGACGGAGCTAAATGAACTTTCAGTGCAAGAATTACCTTAAACACACACTGATTCAGCTCACCTCAGAGCACTGTTGGACCGCAGTAAATGTATTACGGGACGATGGGTGCAGAAGGGAACGTTCTCCCTTGGCTGCACCATCCTTGCATGAATTCCCTCATGGCCCGAGTAAGGTGCTGTAGACTGAGAGGAAAAGAAGCGTAGGCAGATTTTTAAAAWGGGGTTTTAATAAGTTTCCACAGATTCCTTTTGCTTTTTATTAGATGAGCAGTTTGTTTCTCATTCAAAAAAAAAAAAAAAAGGGGGGCTAAGTTGATATAGTTTCATGCCAAACTGCTGCTTATTCTGATGCAATATGGTCAGTTTTTTTATAGCTGCCTCTCTTTATTATTATGTTAGAGTTAAGATGTAGAATAATCAAATTAGGACTTCTCAGTATAAGAAATTAGATTACATTTTGTCTTTATACACATCATTTTTCAATCAATTCAGTGAGTGCCAACCTGCTTATAGAAAGTCACTTTTTTGTTCATGATAATAATAATGATAATAATAATGTTCAGAAAACTTACCTAGAGAGGATCTTATATGATGGGAAAAGACTAGACTGAAAAAAAAGTGGAGGTGGAAGAAGGAGGAGAAATTGTTATGCTCACATTGTTAAGTCTTGCAGTTTTCCCTGTTTTTTTAATCTCATGAAATTCACTTTTAATGTGAAAACTAGTTCCACTGAAAATGTATATTTGCATAATTTGCATAGAGCTGCTCTATCAGACAAAAAATGAAAATGCAAATCAGCTTTGCTTAAACTTGGCAAAAACATGCAGTTTTTTTCTTCTTGTTTCTGCAAAAACTACATTAATTTTATAACTTAGTTTTACCCAATTTTTGATGGTAGTAAACCATGTCTTTAATAAAGATGTGGTTTTTGCATGAAGCAAGCAAAGTCTGTTGTGAAAAATAAGTGGATTGATGGCTGGCTCTCTTAGCCAACTTTGCTCGTTGTTGTAAAGGTATTTAGCAATCCCTTCCCACAGCATGAATTTCAAAAATACCGATTACTTCACTCTGTCTCTTCTGTAGGTAGCYTTGTATGTGTCTGTTGTAGGAAAATTTATTACTTCTCATAGCTAGTAATATCTCTTTTGGAAGCAGTCCTGCTAAACCATTCATCCTCAACTGTTAGCTGGATGCTTCCTTCCTCTCCTACAGTGGTGCACTTTTCTCTTTGGTCCTTTTAGAATTTTAAATAATATTTAAGAGCTAGTGCCGAGAAGATCTTAGAAACGCTGAGCCTGCATTTACTCCACACAGGCAGGCTTTTATGGCTGAGCTTCACTGCCTTTAAAGAGGAATGAGTCACTCGTGTGAGACTTCTTAAATTTAAAACTTTTCAAACTTCATTTGAATATCTCTTTTATAAAAGCCTTTTTTGGCTTATTATTTTAAGGGCTTGGAAAGGAAGGAAGGATAGTAAGATAGAACTTGGTTTGCATTTTAAAAGGGCTGATTTTCTTAAAGGGAAAACTTCAGGAACCTATTTAATCTTCTAATGTACACTTCTGTTTGGCATGTATAATGAGTGTATTTGAGTACTACAGCAGGAAGATAGAAGTGAATTAAATTCTGTACAGATATAATTTACATACAGATTTTCATATCTCTCTGCTCAAGTACCATAATCAAGACAAGTTTCTCCTGATTTTTTCTTCTAGGGCGATTCAGAAAAAGTATCTGCAAGTGCTGGTCTTGAATAGTTTGCTGTGCTGGGTTTAGCTTGATTTCCAAAGGCTGATAGATTCCAACCTTCCTCATTCCATAGTAATTTCTGAATCAATGGATTGATAACAAACAAATTTGAACATAAATTGCAGGACCTTTCATGGGGTGGCTTCCCCGGACGATATACACGGGTTTCACTCATTGAGGAAGAAAATATATCAGTCGTCCAGAAATTCATGCAGGAGGGGGGTCTTTCACAATACAGTTAACAGTCAGTAAAAGAAGATGAAACATTGGAAAATGAGGATTGACGGGTTTTCTGCACTTTAGTAAGCATCTAAACTCAGAATAGCTTTCTACCTTATTTGTTCAAACCAAAGAAAACTTACATATGTAACATAAAAAGCGCCTGAGTAAACATAAAATATAAAAATATTGTTTTTATTCAGAAACACAATCCTCTCTATTCTGCCTACATTTCACAATTACTATTTTTAACATTCAGTTGAGTTCATGCACTCCAGTAAAGTCCAGCTGTTATACTTTTGTATCATGTTCAGAGCTTAATCTGATTTTCTGTTTTGCTTTTCCTTGTCAGTTTGGGAAAATAGCTCATTACAGTTGCATGCGATTGCTGAGACAGTACTCCATTTTACGGAGTAAAAAGACAATTCTTATCACATACTTTTCAGTAGAAATACATACTATTGCATGAAAACCACATACAGTAAGATGAAGGTCTAGTGTAGTAATAATTTAACATATATATGTTAAATATATATAATTATAGCCATAATTATAATTAATTTATGGATAATATTGCCCTAAAAATGTGTGGTGTAACCTGCAAAGGTTTTTGAGATAATGGACAGTCACTTACCTGAAAGTTTGCATCAAGCTTTGATTAAATATTAGTATTGAGGTCCAAGGGATGTAAGCACACATGCAAGTATACTTATATTTAAACATGTGTAAGTGTGTATATTTTGGCATTATTCAAGCCTGTTGAATTGCTTTATGTCTCTTATATGACCAAATTGTTGTATATAAATTATACAACCTTTGGAAAAGGGTTATTGTTTCACTTTATTTTCACTCTGTCCGTTTCTTTAAATGAAAGTTAGACTCCAGTAAGTTAGAAACTCATCGTTGTTATAGTTTGGCTCCCAGCTATGGCTGGAAAGTCTGAAATAAAGCCAAAAGACTGTTCCACTGAGTGTGGGCTTTCACATGGATTAAGCGGCACATTTCTTCTAAATTACAGAATAAGTTTGATTTCCTTTTTAAGGATTATTGTGTAAATCACTATTTAAAAAGCTTTTGCATATAAATTTGTCTTAAAGATAATTAAGAATATTTAAAATCTCTTTTCCTTTCCTTGTGGATATATTATGAAGGCAGCCAATAAAATACAGTTAACAAGCACTATAAGTCTGCAACTGATCATGTAAAAAACTTCAGATTGTCATAACATATTATCCTAGAGGGTCTGTGAAAAAAAGGATAAGTCTTGTTTCTACTTTGTGATAGCTGCATGTGTGCAAAGAACTTCTTAGCAAATTTTATTTTATCCATCTTTGTTATTATGGAAATAAGGACATGTACTGCAGGTGCCTTTTGTGTAGCTTGCATAAAGAAAGTGCCTGGTGTTTTGGTGTCYGAATGCTATATTAGTTTGCACAAATCAATTTTGACATAGGATGGGTTTAACCTTTTTCATTTGCTCTAGTACAAAATTATCTATTAGATGCAGTAGTGTACAAATGCTGAATTGAGAAGCTATTCTGTTTGTGACCATATGAAGTTGCCAATTCATTTTTTTCAGTTGTTTTCACTGCTTGCTATTTTCAATGTCCAGATGTAAACATGGAATTCTATTTATAGTGCTGGCATTTTTTTTAATATATGTATTCAAATATTCTACAAAAAAAGTGAAAATTTTTGCCATCTATTTGWCTCTGTTTTTTCTCCTCCTTCCCTAGAATCTAATACTTATTTAGAGTAAACAAATATTTCTCTTTTAGCTGTTGCATCAGCAAGTAACCCAGGAAATTACACTTCATCTTCTGATTTGCCTTTCCTCTTACAGGCAAGCTCAAATCTCTTGCTTCCTGCGCCATCGTTGCTGTCTCCAGACTCCAAGTTAGGACTGTCAGGTGCCCTGAGCTCTCCACTGAATCCKCTGCAGCCTTTCTCTACGAAAAGTGGTGAGCTGCTTTTTTCATTTGACAGCTCTCTAGGTAATAACTTTTGAGATTAATTTTTCTCATTTAGGTAAATTTAGCTGTGAATCTCTCTTGTGGAGTGGCCAGGTGCTGTATGTGCCATTGTTTATACAGTGTACTGTCATACAATATTGATATTTCTTCCTTTTTTTTCAGTTTTTTTCTTTTAAATTCAAGCTCTACACTTACTTATTAATATTTTAAGCTCTTAAAGCAATATGTAATTACCAGCTTTTCTTAATTTAATATTTTGATTTTAAGTATATTGAACACAGCGCCAAAAAAAAAAAACTTTTTAAAAGCATTACACTTTGCAATTGTTTTAAATGTATTTTAGAGTTTGGTGTTTTGTAGTTATGAGAAAAAACTAAGCAATGAAATCATGCTCTTTTATGATACTTGTTTGTTTTGACAGTATCTTGTTAATCAAAATATTTAATAACAAAATAGATAATTTTATGTCTTTTGGGGGTTGCCTGTAAGAGATAAAATTATTTGCTTTGTTTCCCACTGTTTTCATTTTGTATCCCAGGGCAGAGTGGAAAGTAGTGGTGGGGAAACAAAAATATAAACTAAATATATTAATAGAGATTTAAAGCACAGATGGTAAAAATGGGAATTGTCTGTGTAATTAAAGTAAGATAATTTTCTTCATAAATGAAGTTGTAATTACTGTGTAAAAAAAAAAAAAAAGGTATGGGCTAAAAGACTGATTACTCTCAGAATCACTCTTATCACTAATTCACTAGTGACCAACTACTATTTAACCTCTTTATTTCCATTTTTCTGTCTTAAAAGGAGAGTTGTTAAAGCCTTAATCTCACAACAGATGCTCACTATTTCCAGAGCATGAAAATCCTACAGGAACAGTAGAATAACTTTTCTATGACTATTTAAAGTCAGTGGACTATCCCTTTAAAGAAAATTAACACTGACCTTACGTTGTTGTAAGTGTTTATATCCAGTGTGTGCATTGTTTTGAGCAATATTATTTTCTTAATTTTTACTCTAGATAGAAGCACAGATAAATATRCAAATGGAGCCTTCTAATAGCATAATCAAACTTAAATATAGGCTGTTTGTGTGTGTTTCCTACAATGTTGCCTGAACATTTTAGCCCATTCTTCAAGCCCAGGTGGTTCCCAGCCTGTGCTGATGCATGGAGCGTTTCTTCCCCTGGTGCCAGACTTTCCCTTTCCCTTTGCACTTCATGCTATTCCTATCAACTCTTTGCTCCAGCCTGAGGTTCAGGGCAAGCATTTGATGCACGAGCCACTCCTCCCGACTTTGTATCATCCACAGACTTGCCGAGGGGAGGCCTTCCCTCCCTGCATCCCGGTCCTTACTGAAGATGCTAAGCAGTCCTGGCCCCGGTATTGACCCCTGGAGTCCAGCACTGGTGGTTAGCCTCCAGCTAGATTTTGTGGCACTGATTGCACCCCTYTGAGCCCTGCGGTCAATCCACCTCACTCTCTACTTATGCAGTCCATATGTCATCAGTTTATCTATGAGAACGTTATGGGAGACTGTTTTGAAAGCTTTGGTGAAATCATGATTAGCAACATACGCTGCTCTCCCCTGAATGCTGTGCAGTGCTGTGCAAGAGGTAGGTCATTAGATATATCAGGAGTGTGGTTAGAATTACTAGAAGTTACGTATTATTAGAAAAAGAAAAGTTGTAAGAGTTTCACAAATCATTATTACTGAAGTAGGTACCACAAAGCAGACACAAGACTTGCAGCTGAGTTAGGTTTTTTTTTGTATGTTAAATTCTGTGCATTTCATTAGTTAGATTTCCTTAAATCTAACAAAATTCTTTTAATTAAAGAAACTGATTTTTCTGGCCTGCCTTCTCACAAAGATCTTGTTAGGTTTGAGTGTGTTGTTTTTCTTAGTGATCATCCTGGTAGCCCATTAGGTCACCCAGACCTTTTCTGCAGGACCATAATTCTTTTTCTGTATCATATTTTCTTGTGCTGTTGCCTCAGTAATGCTGCACCTGAAACAGCTGATAGCCATCTCCAGGCTCTGTAAAGATTGCTAGATGTGTGGTTTTTGGAAAAAAATGATTTCTACTAAGTCTTATATTTTGTAATTTGGATTCTTGAAGTCTTGTGGTTGATCTTACACTTGACTTTCCTAAGTTTTTTTCCTCTGTCATATAAGAGATAGTTACTCAGTCCTTGGAAGTGGAATGTTGAACAAGTCCTAGGGAAGCTCTCCTAAAAATRCGGAATATTTAAGTTTCTGAAATAAGTTTCTTTTGGAAAATGTGTTTAATAGCTACCTGTAGTAGCCACAGTTGATGTTTTATCCTCCCCGCGCTGCATAGCTCAGCTCTTGCTTGTGTTTCAGGCTTATTTTCTCATATGCATCCCGTGGCAGTGCTCTGCAGCTCTGCACTGGGACACCATCCAGTATCCTCTCTCAGCCATTCCTGTCTTCTCCTGTTCTCATCTTTTGACCTTCTTTCAGGATAACCTGTTTCCTGGTTGTCAGGTTTCAAACAAATACTGAAGTAGCAAAAGCTCCAGCTTTCATTCTTCTGTTCTCTGAGAGATTTTAAAATTTGTACTGTTTTTTATCTTTTTCTTCCTTTGCCTTCCTCACGAAAATCCCAAGTGTCTTTGCACAGTGAAATCACCTCTTTACAACCTCCTATACTATTTTGCACTTCTGTGACGTGGCATGAAAGAATTGTCCACCTTTTTAGGCTTATTCAGCAGTCACTTTGGAGTTCAGTAACTCCGGGCAAGTTTTCTAAACTATATTTTAGCTTTCAAATAGTTACAATTAGCAGTGACTCTAATGGTTAACTGTATTGGAGACTGCAGTTTGGCTATAAATATTTGACAGGCTTTTTCACTAAAATTTTCACTTCAATAAAGCCAGGTAATTAAACTTGCTCTTAAAATTAATTATGTATGTGCTATAAACGTGATGGTTCTTGTATCTTAAAAAAATCTCAAAAACAAAAAACACACCACTTTGGCAAGGCTGAGCACAATTAGAAAGTTTCTCCCCATTAATGCAACTGACAGGCAAAGGTGTTTTCCACCTATAAAGTGAAAGTTTCAAAGGACTCTTTCCCACCCTTTGAACACMTTAACAAAATCGAGCATTGCTGTGCAGTGCTCCAATATGCTGGATAGACTATTTAAAATCCTTTTTTCAGGCCCAAGCAAACAGTGAAATCAAAAGTAGTGTATCAAAATATCAAAAGTATTTATGATTATCAAAAGCTAGGTAATCTCAAAATACCATACTGTCTCTCATTTTATTTTTTATTTTATTTTATTTTATTTTATTTGGAGAAAAAGGAAATAAACAAAATCCATATTTGTGCAGAGATGCTGCAGAAACGTTGTTAAAAAATAAACCCTCATATGCCTGCTAGTGTCATTGATTACTGCAGTATTATTAGTTTCGAGGCAACTTTTTTGAATGTTTTGTACAGCCTTCCCATCACTRTAATATCTATCTTTTGTGTGGACGTCATAGTCTGTGGAGGATTTAAAGGGGTTTTAATTTGCCAAACTATTATTTTGAGGATTTTTTTATAATGTTGTACTAATATTATGTGGAGTTATGAATTAGTGTCATTTCATGGGTTTCCTGTGTAGAAAAGCGTTATGACTTGATTATCAAAGCTGTTATGCCGAGTTTGTCCTCAGTTTGGGTGATTGCATGAGAAGTTAACATTTGGATATTAATGAAAGATAACTTTTCACCAGCTTTCAGTAAGGACTGCTTGAATAAACATTAGCCCCAACAACTTAAAAGTCTCCTCCATAAAAAAAAGGTCTGAACTTACTTTAAAAAACTAGTTCGCATCTAGGAAAATCGTTCGAATTCATTCTTCTGAATATTTGGACTTCACAGATTTACAACCAAACACTGATTCTTATGATACACAAGCTTTAAAAAGACAGAGTGAAGCTCAATTTCTGTTTTTATGGAATTAGATTTAAGATGTTGCAACTTACCAGAGGGTGACCAGCACCATTCCATCAATTTGCAAAGCAGATAAATTTTTACATGTTGTCACTTGCCAAGAAACATTAGATCTTCTGCTAGAGCTCACGTGTGTACAAGTAACATCAAACCTTGAGAAAGAATGGAAGCAAATTTTATATTACCTTTGAAACTGCCCGGTACTGGTATCAGCTGGAGTTCCAGCACAGTTTTGGTGGGATGGCAAGGGGACTGGAGGGAACTCCAAGTTGTTCTTAGTTATTCTGAGGTATCTAGAGCCCCAATTAGATTGTATGTGTTCTGATTATGGTTTGTATGTGTTCTGATTATGGCTCTTTTCCTTGACTTAGGTCTCCTTTATGGACTGAGCAAGACTAACAAAATATTGAGCTGGTCAAAGAGGAGAAAACGAGGCCATTGTGGCCTAATCATTTGAATCTCTTGTTATTAAGAGAATGTAGGAAAACTAAAGGAAAAATAAATAAATAAAAAAGCCTTGTTATACAAACTGCCATTGAAAATGTTATGTATAAAATGAACAAATAAATAAATTTTTTTAGTATTAGAATAGCGTCCTTTGAAAATGCACAGTAATAAAATACCCTAAAGACCTTCGAGAGTTAAGGTATTGAAAGAGATGACAATGTAGATATTAACTAGGCTGTGAGTGTATGTGGTGCATATATTCCAAGTATAACATGAAACACAGTATTTGTAACGTACCACTGGCTGTGTTTGGATACAGGTTGGTGAGGCTTTCAAAGGTGGCAAAAAGAATTAAYTGACAGACAGATGACTAAGAGAAAGCATTCGGTCTATCCAGCAGCACTGCAGCCTTTCCCACACTGCTGTATTTAAGTTATATAATACTGACCTTGAGGGTTTTTTTTTTTTTTGAAATGGGAGTGCCACTTGGATAAACCTGTTTACTGGGACCCGATTCATGCAAGCGAATTGAACAGCACACAGATCACTGAATATACCCATTTGTAATTTTTGATCCTAGT